CTGCCATCAACAGTAACACGATCGATTTTTCCACATGAACTGAAATGATGAGTCAAAGCCTTCTTGATTTCATCCGGAGGAAGCGTAGTGTCATATCCCTCCACGACAATCCAAAGACAACTGCAATTATTTGCACGAAAAGTAGATAGATAATATTATCACATGAACTCATCATGTTCGTACATATATTCAAATCTCCAAAAAAAAAAAACTCATCAATTTACCGATATTTATCTATATTCTCAAAGAAGCGTTTCATATCAGCCTCAGAACCGAAAAGTCTCATCTCCTGAAGTAGAAACAAACAAAAGATCTAATCAGAAACCATTAATTAATACAGAAACACCCTAAATGTAAGAAGAAAGACATAAGGATGAGGAAAGATTACTTTGGAGGCGGGTTTCTTCACGTCCACGGAGAAATTGAGAATCCTAAGGCACGACGATATTTTCCAGTTTTGGGGAAACGATCCTCGATTTCCTTTTTCATCAAAGGCCCAATTGGTTAAACTTAAATTGAAAAATCAAACCCCGAACAGTACCGAATCTTAAATTATGAAATCAAAACCCAACACAACCGAATTGGTAGAAATAACAATAATAAAACTATAGAAAACTTGGATTTGATCGCGGAAGATTTTAATGTTGGGTTTATTGGTTGGATAACCAAACAAACTTAAAATTGGTCAAACTAAAATTTTACTGTTGATTTAAAGAAATTCAAATTTTTATTACAAGGGTAGAAATTACAAACAAACGCAAAGCGAAATTTGTCAAAAAGATAACCAAACGATGGTTAAAAGAGACCAAGTGACGATACAAACCATAAGAAGTCGAACATCTTGAGAGCCTCTTGAATTACCGCATCCAGTGCAACCCGAAAGGTACAAACACTGCACCAACGGCAGAGAAGACCGTAAGCGGGGAGGAAGAATAACCAAATCACTCCATCATTTGATAACTCGCTCGAGTTATATATATGCCACTTAATGGTTTGTTGCAACATCTCTTCTGAAATGAAGTACTCGAAACAGGACACCAATTCCACTGTGTACTTTTTGAATAGTTAATTTTGTTGTACTTTTAAGTTACAGAACATTTGAGCTTACTCAACATGCTCATCCACACACACAAACGTCATACACCTTCTACACAAAAACATAAGAAAGACCAAGTAATATAACAAGAATCATCCACACACATCGGAGCTTACTTAACATGCACACAAAAACATAAGAAAGACCAAAGTAATTAATAAAAAGGGTTGCATTGAAAATCACGATTAAAAACACCAAACACCATGGATTAACAACATAAAGAAAACAAACTAAACAATGTGGTTATCGAATCGAAATCTGGCTGTATCTCTAAAAGTGAGGAGGATGATCATGATCATGATCATATTCAGAAGTGTCCTCTTGCTTAAAACATTGGCCCTGGCTATTCTGGTTGTAATCTGGAACGAACCCTTCGATGATATTATCATTCCCAAAATGTGACGTATGGTGATTAGGATCAATCATGTTGTGATGATTGTAACTGGAAGTGTTCATGCTCACCGATCTTGGATGATTAAACAGATCCAATTCAGTATTGATATTACCATCATCACAAGAGATCCCAAAAGCAGCATCATGACTTGAGCTTCCGACATAGAAATCATGACGTGGATCAGTTGCTTGAAGATACTTGGATGCTTCATTTCTCACTGCCTTTCTCATATTTTCCAAACCACATTTGAATTCAGTGAGCTGAGTTAAGCTGAATGTTCCTATGTGTTCTTCTTCCCACCAATTCTCAGCTTTTTTACTTTCTTTTCTCCTTTTCTTTAGATCTTCGTTTCTTTTTCTCTCTTCTTCCAATTGTTCGGTCACCTGTGAAGATAATTTACTTTGTTAGTTTAAAAAAATATATATTTTATCCACATATAACCTTTTAAATTTAGTTTTCTAGAATATATATATTCATTTAGATTTTACACTAATTATATTTCTATTTGGGTGAGAGCAAATTCAACCTCACTTTAGACATTTCATATACTTCTTCCGTTTCAAAATATAAGTTATTTTAACCAAAAACTCAAATATTAAATAACTATTTTTTTAAAGTATCATT